CTTAAGGAGTGTAGTTACGCCGGATTTCGACAACTTCTAAATCTTCTTTGCCTCTATACGTCGCTTACTAGCCGTCTATAGCTAGGTCTAGGTCGCAGCCTTAGTAGCAGCTGCTACTACTACGGCCTTCCTATTCTTCTTGCTTAGACGCTTAGCTCTGCCTCGACCGAGATAATCTATACGATTAGCGTAGACACTATCGACAATACGATTTAGCATCTTAAGCATCTCGTTAAATAGAAGATTCTTGCTATTCTCGTCGTCCGCCTTATACTAAGCTAGAAAGCCCGGTATACGCTCCTCTATAATAGACTCGTCGATAGCGCCGCAGTCCTACTTCTTGTTTAGATACAAGCCGCTAAGCTGCTAAAGCTAAGCATCCGGCATAATTATATTAGATAGAATGTCGAATATACGACTACCGCATTAGTCTAGAAATAGTCGCTTTCCCTACTCTAAGACCTATACGGCAATACGCTTATAAGCCTAGTGCCTAGGCATGCTATATCGAGGCTTACGCAATAGTTTAGGTAGTATTAGCGGATCCTTCTAGAAAAGGTCGGTATTTAGCTCTAGATTGCATATATTATAGTATGTATCCGTGCCTTATATAATGCGCTCGGGTAGGATAGGATATATATACTTATCCTGTCTAAGGTACTCGTTACTAACGGCACGTATACACTTCCGATACTCTTTAATAGGATAGTACCGACTGTTAATTAAGCGTATAAAGAGAGGATCTGTCTTCTCCCGGCCTGCTATCTGCTTCGGCTTCTAGTCGCCTATATTAGCATTGTTAGCAATAGCATTATCGACAGTATTATAGAACTTGCTACCGGTATAATGCGTCGCTAGATAGATAACATTGCGCGTGCGCCCGATATCGCCTTCCTTATATTACTCTATTAGAATATCGAATATAGACTCGTCGAAGTTGTCCTATTCTTTACTAGGAACTGTTTTAATTTCCGGATTAGATAACGTATTAGTATGTAAGCGACTTAGACGAGCTAGCGCATATGTATGCTAGTATAGCACTACTTAGCTCGCTCCCGCTACTATAGGTGCTACTATAGGTACTAGGTTACGAGGGATTATTAAAGGATAGTTAGAGTCTAGCGGGACTCTGCCCTACGCGTCGTTATACTACTATAGAGGCATAAATACTGCCTTTAACTTGCGACCCGGAAGACGAGAGCTACGACCTAGCTTCTAGTATAGGTCGAGGAGGTCCTTCGTAATAGGAAGATTATACTAGCTAACAATGTCGATATCCGGTATATTAGTACCTATTGCGGTAGCTAGTATTCTAAAGAGGATACGGATCTTTAAGTTAAGCTTCTTATACTCGTTATATTAGAGGTCCTTGTCGACTTTTACTATATAAGTAGTATAAAAGGAGCATACCTTATAGACGTCGATAGTACGCTTACCTTCTATCGGCGCGCTAGTCTAGGTATACTTCCTATCGGCTAGATCCGGATCGATAATACCTCTAGTTAGCTGCACTAGCTAGCTCCGTATAAGAGCGCATGCTTTGTCGATAGTGTTCCGACTATCTATAAAGATTATAGTCTTCTAGATAAGGTCTAGCGTAGCTAAGCCGTCCTCGTTAATAGTATATCGTAGGACAAAGTACTAATGCTTAAAATCTCTCGTCTTATTCTCTAGAAGTAGCCTAATATAGTACGTAGAGTCCGGTCGGTCGACACTATTACGCTAAATAATACTATAGAGGGGCTTCTTCTCTAAGGGTCGCATTACCTTAGTATCGAGTAGGTGTTAGATAACGTCCTTCGGCATCGTCGCGGATGCGGCTACCTTAACCGTATATACGTCGAGAATGTCGTTTACGACCGATAGCTTACTATATACCGACCGGAATAACAGCTAGCGATAGTAGAGATAAGCTTCGTCGAATACCTATAGACTAACGCGTAGGGCGATAGCTTTTAGTACGTCGAGGAACTCTAGTATAATTATCTGCTCTAGACTAGCGATAATATACTAGTATTTGCCCTCCTTTAGGTTAGCGAACATATTTAGGTCCTCGCGCTTTGTATCTATAGTAATAATATAGGTCTTAATTAGATTATACTCCGCCTTACTAAGATTGCGGACAGCCTAGATTATATCGTCTCTATACTTATTTGCAATGCGGTTTAAAGGCACTACTTATAGAATAGTCTTACCTATTAGTAACGCATATCCCTAGTATATAATAGTCTTGCCTGCACTAGTAGTAGCGATTATAAACACGTCCTATATCGCGAAGATTAGAGACTCGAGGACGTCGACCTATAACTAAGTTAGATTTAGCGCTAGTACTCTACTAGGGTATATTATCGATAGGACCTTACGTAAGCTAGCGCGGATAATATCTTCCGTAATATAATCGGCTTTATCGTATATAGCGGCGTCCTATACCTATTGCGCTATTAGCGTGTTTTGCTTATTATACTAATAATAGCTTATAAGTCGCTAGACTTCCTCTAATAAATACTCTAACTCGATTATATCTAAGCGATCCTCGAAGTGCTTCTACTACTCTGCTAGCGGCGCATTAGAAGCTAGTAGCTCTAGACGACGAGGTACGTCCTATTATAAGTTATACCGATTAACCGAAACGCGACCTTTTAGTATCTTTAGCTTAAACTTTATATACCTAGGTACGGCACTAGCGATATATGCCTAATCCTGCGCCTATCTATCTCTTATATCTTTCTCTACTCGCTAACGACGACGACGCTCTTTCTAGCTTATTTCCGCTATACTATCGGCGTCTTAGCTAGAGGGTCGGCTAAAGTAGAAGGCGAAGGTATTAAAGATCGCAAACGATAAGGAGACTTCTCGGTAAGGCTGCGTTTGCTATAGGTCTTCGCGCCGCGCCGAGCGGCTAGTTACTAGGTTACGGATAGGTAGTAAAGCATAAAACCTACTTAATAACACGTACGCTAAGTCGCTAAAGGTATTTAATACTAGCGCCGTCGCTAGAATAGCTAGAATCGGCTAGAAGATACTGTTTCTATAGACCTTGCCGGCCTTCGATAAGAAGCGACTAGATTATATAGGAACTAGGTATATAGCATATATATACAGTATTAGAAATTAATATAGGGTAATACTAGAGAGATCTACGTCCTTAGAATAGTAGATTTCGCGATGTTACGTAAAAGCGCCGCCTCTTCGACGATTTAGATAGGGCTTTTCCTATAACGTATATAATAACAACGATATATCGCGCGGAGAAATAGGTAATAGGGATAGAAAAAGGAGACCTTTCTAATAGGGACGGTATCGCTAGTTTAGTATAAGGAGAGGTAGTTATCGTCTTGTAATATATATTGTTCAAGTTAGCTATAAGCTAGAACTTAGCGATATTTTGTCCGTATATGTTTCTAGTAGCTTCGTACTACTTTCTAATTAGGTATAATTATTTAATACACTATAAGGATCCCTATAGCTAAGTCCGCGGGCTCAAAATGGAAGAATGCGTAGTTATAGAGGTATTTGGTAGATTCTATTAGAATACTAGTTATGCTAGCGGAAAATCCGCAGTGCCTACCAGGTTTGTCGTCAGACGCTCCGCTGGAGCATTCTTAGCAAGCCAAGACACACACCTGAGGCTCCAACACGTGAGCGTCTGAAAGGAGACAGCCGGTCCACACGAACCCCCATCACAGCCGAGATTGCAGCCAAATCAAGACTGACGCCAAAGACGTCATTCATGGCGGCAATAGCCCCAAGAAATGAGAAAACTCCACCTCTTGGGATATATCCATATCATAGCCCAGGACATGACAAGAATGAAGCATGGCCCTCGGTGGTCGCCCTCTCCTGGCGGCTGAAATGCGTGAGCTCCATCATGCTGGTAGGTTCGGTGAAAGTATTCAACAGAAGTCGCTTCTCGGGATAGCGTACGTATGTGGATGCGGACTCGAGAATGCTAGAACATTGCAGTATAGCAGGCCAAGTGGAAATCTCAGTGATTGGAGTCGCATGACATATATGATACTATGCTGACTTGGCACACGAACCTGATGGCCAAGAGACTGGTCTTCGGTGGTTTGCTCCTGTTCTTCTGCAGCCGGACGGCATCTGGCTCGGTGGAAGAAAGCTCATTTCTGAAAGGTCCACATCCATCCTTTCGCTATACCAACACTGGCTCGATCACTACTGTACCCTGCTGCGCTGGCGGGACGTGATCTGCTGCAAGGCACGCGGGTTGCGATGCGTACGGAGAATAGCCGGCATGAGAGGGAGCTAGTGCCTCATCCGCCTCGCTTCAAAATAGCATGAAAATTGACATTCGAGAGCCTTGGTATCCCCACCGAATGCAAGCGACTTGAGGCTGCGGCGCACCAGCGACCAGTATATTGTCTCCTATCATCAGAACGACATCCCCGAATCGGCGACTTACCAGGAGTCTGCATGTACTGAGCTCCTCCAGGATGGTGTAGCACATGTCTTTCTGGACTTCACTGTTACATGTCGACTAGTTACACAAGTGTGACCGCTTCCGAGAGCAAATGTTCATGCTTGAGACGTCGGCATGCGGTTCATCTGGAGTCTGGCTGCTCTTTTGGCGGCATCCGCGGCTGGTCAGAATACCACACAGCAAGAGGAGCTGACGAGAGCGCTGGAGCTGCTGCAGACAATGCCAGAGTGTGCAGTAAGATGTTCGGACAGTATGAATTGTGAACGCGAGAGATACTGATGGGCCCTCGGCAGCGGACATGCCTCCTCTCTGCAGTTGCTGCATCAGGCATATCTGTCTCGAACCTCAACATTACCGCGAGCTGTAGCAATAAAACCGCTACGGCGGACATAGAGGCTTGCGCTATGGCAGCATGTACAATACGCGAGCAATTGAGTACGAAGGACATACTCCCCCCGAGATTCCCGCCATACTGACTCGCCTTCTCACAGCTGCAAAGAATGTTACCGAGACTCTATGCCAAAGACCGGTCCGCAAAGCCTCGAATATCTCGGTCTCCAGCATTGTCGGCTGCGCCTTTGCCAGCGTCGCATACTTCATGCGTATGCTGTCGAAGATGAACCTCCCTTGCGTCAGAGGTGCCCGCGTGGATACAAATTTTTGGTGGGACGACTTGTTGATCACCATCGCCTGGTTGCTCATCATTCCGATCACGGTGCTCTCGACTTTCTGTAAGCCCATGCATGACAAGCTCTCCCGTTGCGTCTTTGGGCATCTTCTCATAATCATTGCAGTGAATACGCTGGCCATGGGCAGAGATGTCTGGACAATACCGTTTGACAACATCACCAAGGCTCTCAAGGTATGCATCGTTCATCCACAACCACATCGACATCACCTAACATTTTCCGTCAGATGTACTATTTTGACGAGCTTCTATATATTGCCGCCCTGCCAATCATCAAGATCACCATTCTTTTTACCTACCTCCGAATCTTCCAAACGCCGAACTTCAGGAAGCTGGCTTTTGGTGCCATTGGGATCAACGTGGTTTTCGCCATCACCTTCTTCGGGGTCACCGTCTTTCAGTGTATCCCCGTCCACCTGGTACGATCCGATGCAATGCCTTGTGTGCATTTCATCGCTAACCCAATTCACAGGCATGGACTCACTGGGACGGTACGCATCCCGGAGAGTGCAAAGATCTCAATGCACTGTCATGGGCAGCGGCAGCACTCAACATCATTCTCGACGTCGTTGTAGTTGGTCTGCCCATGCCGATGCTCTGGAAGATGAATCTCAACAAACGCAAGAAGATTCTGGTGATGCTCATGTTTGGTAAACTCCCTACACGTCAATCGTATCTGGGCGTGTTCTGATGGAACTTCAGGAGTCGGTTTCTTCGTCACGATTGTCAGCATTCTGCGACTCCATCTTTTGGTCTACTTCGGCCATTCCAAAAATATCACCTGTAAGTGTTGTCTCGGTTGCTGGAACGGAAGCATTCAGCTGACGCTGTGATCAAGATGACTACAAGAAAGTCGGGGACTGGACCGTCGTCGAGCTCAACACAGCACTCTGCTGCGCCTGTATGCCTGGCATTCGCAACCTCATCCGTCGAGCTTTCCCCAAGCTAATGGGAAGTACCGCGCGCAACTCACGTCGTACGCCGACTCCTGGCCTCTCTGGGCTACGCGGACCAACCCCTGTTACCAGTGGGCTTGGAAAGGGCGTGACGGAGGTCTATGTCCGGCCAAGACACAGTGATGACGACCACTTCATTCCCCTCGACGACATCAGCGCCGACAATTCAAGCACTCACGAATCTGCCGAGAAGTCTGCGTCAGAAACGCAAGTGCGCAACTTTTCGGTTCCCGGTTCTGTAACGCTGGCTCCGTGGCGGCCAGTCTCGCCCGTCCAGGGGCATGGAAGAGCTTGACATTGATAGCAAGCAATATCAACACCATCCAAATCTGGTTATCCTACTCCTGATCTCAATATCCAAGACTTCCCAGCCACTCGTGCCTTCATCTCGTAATCGGAGCATGTCAAATTCGTTCCGCTGCTCGAACGTCGCCTAAGACGTCAGCCTCCGCACGGTCTGCCACTTGTTTCTCAACAACCACGCTACAAGTCTATCGCTGACTAGCAGGGATATTCGTGGCCCCGGTCCCTGCTAGTATGTGTTTCCGCGGACGTAGCTCCGCCTTAGGCTGTCTTGGCTTGAGACCGGGACTGTGTGTACAGAGTTGTAACTGTTCCGAGAGAAATCTCCCGTTAGCGAGATCCTTTAGATAGGGGAATTTCTTCTCCCTTATATTAACGGTTATATAAATTCGTTTACGCTACGTACTATTATATAAGGCAATCGATTCTTCCGGACTAGGAAATAATATAAGAAACTAACGATCGTCGATAGGTTTAGGTTCTCCTATTAGTAGCCGTTATTCTATATACTATCTTTATATCTTATATTAATCTTTATTTCTTATTATTGTTTTCGTAGGGCTTAGCTTTACTATAGTAAGATTTTATTAAATAGCTTCGGGATAGTACTCTCTCTACTACTATATAATATAGGTTAGGTAAGTAGGTAGATAGTATAGTCTAAAGCGTATAGTATTTAATAAGGTCTATAAAGGAGGGAGAGGAAGGTTAGGAAGTTAGACTAGCGCTAAGCGCTAAGCCCTACCTAAGGTATTAAGACCCTAGCTTTACTTAGCCGGTTATATGCCTTTTATATACCCTCTACTAATATACTACGTCGATCCTAAATAGAGATACTCGCCTTTATAAAATATAAGTACTAGATAAGACTAGCTACGAGCATATTATTATCGGATCTAGATTAGGAGGGTTACTACTTACTATACTAGTACGCCTTGCCCTAGTCCTATTTATTAAAGCGAGAGGTTGTAAGAAGGGTTATATTAGTAGGTAGATAGGGTAGTAGTAGGTTAGTATAGTATTCGATAGAGATCTCGGAGGAGAAGGAGGAAGGTAGGCTAGTTAGCCTAACGCTAAGCGCTAAGCCCTACCTAAGGCACTAAGACCCTAGCTTTACTCGAGCCGGTTATATACTAATTACGTATAGCCTCTAATAGAGGTCGACTATAGAGATAATAATATCCCTATCTGTAACCGAAGTCTAATCCGGAGAGGATAGTAATATTAATTCCGACTACTAGATTACTTACTTCGGAAACCTAAAGCAATAGAAGCTAGAATTATTAAAAGACTAATAGCTATCTATAGGTTAGAAAGTCTCTTCTAGCCGATACTATCTTCTCGAACTAGGACTCTCGGTAGGCGTACTAATATTAGGACTAAAGAGGTTATACGTAATTAGTATATAACTAGGCTCGAGTAAAGCTAGGGTCTTTATGCCTTAGGTAGGGCTTAGCGCTTAGCAATAGGCTAACTTGCCCGCCTTCCTCCCTCTCCTCCTAGCTTCTTATCGAATACTACTTATACCTACTACTACCCTATCTACCTACTAATATAACCCTTCTTATATAGTATTCGATCTACCCTTTAAGGGTAGCAGCTAGATAGTCCTTATTCTAAGCTTTTAGCAGTATAGCCACGAAAACTATTAATTTAACTATATTACGCCCGAAGAACGGGACCTATACGTACTATTCTATTAAAAACAACCGTACTAATTATTAAGTAAGGCCTTCTATATAGCCTATTATACTAAGTTAATTATATTAGACCGATATCTACTAATTCCGCTATATCCGTACCGTAAGGGGCCGTAATACATTATTAGTACTACCCCTTATTATAATAGCCGGCTTATTACGAAGTAATAACAACCGCGGCGCTACTAGTAGCGCTAGCAATAACAACGCTAGTAGTATAGTACCTATTAAAGAGCCTACTAGAAGGCCTACTAAAGAACCTATAGTCGAAGGGGATAATCCCTCGTTGCCTATCGACGATATTCTTAATAATATTGTTAACCGTCGATATAGCCGACTAGCCTTTAGCCCTGAACTAGTAGGGAGACTTTAAGAAGCTACTTAAAACAGGCTTACTGCCCTACGCTAAGAACAATAGCTAAAGGATAACCTCCTCGAGCTTCGTCGCCTTTTAGAAGCCCTAATAACTACTACTAAACTAATAGTAGGGCCTTTATTATCTATTTAGAAGAGGAAGGATACTAAGCTTAGAGACTGTACCGTATTTAATAGCTCTAGTCGAAAGCAATATAACGACTATATTCGTAACTACGAGCTTAACTAGCGAAACGCACCGAGGGCCCTTCTAGACGACTATTTATTAGTTGTCTACGCTATATAGTATATTAATAGCGACCTAAAGCGTACCTAGGATAACTATTTTAACTCCCTTAACGACTAGACCGCTATTTAGTAGCAAACCTATAAAACTATTATACTAGACACCCTTAGAAACCCTATACTAAGGCAATAATACGCTTAGGACTAGTATCTTCGAGCTAAATAAAAGACTAATTAATCGGCTCGCTTATTCGAGGCCTATTTAAAGACCCTCGAAGACGACCTTCCTACTAAGACTAATTCTATATAGATCTCGGAAATACGCCTAAAGCTTAGATAGGAGCTTGTCCTCGAATTAGACCGTCGCCGTGTATTTAAATAAGCTAATCTAATACGCATTTAATTCGTAGTCGAAGTAGAAATAGCTAAACGAGCTATTTAGCTTTAATAATAACTAGAATCGAGGATCCGACTAACTAGTACTAATCGTAGTAACCGTAGTACCCGCGGAGGAAACTAAGGTTCCTACTAAAACAATAATACTAATAATAATAGGAATAGTAACAATAACCGTAGAAGAGGCCGTAGCCGACGACTATATAGAGGAGGCCGTAATAGGGGCTATAGAAGGGGCTCGTATCCCTATAATGCTAACCGCTTAACTAATAATAGTAGTAATAGCTATAGCAGCCCCCTAACTAGGTTGAAGTGCTTTAACTATAATAGTACTAGCTATCTACTAGGCTAATACGACAAACTAAGGGATTAGGCCCGGATTAACCGTACTTCCGCTAAATATAGGAAACACCTTTTAGCGGCTAACGCTACCCCTATAGGCTAACCTTCGAAAAAAGAGTAAGCGCCGTACTAACTATTAGCCTCGTACGGCGTAAGACTATCGACATTATACTAGCTATTATACGCACCTATCTTATATAGGATACGAAGGGTACTAACTATAAAACTAAGGTTATACTAGATCTAGGGAATTTAGTTAGCGCCCTTATTAGCTATCGCCTAGCTAAGCAATTAGACCTTCGACAACTAAATAGGGCTAACCTACTAACCCTTGCTTAGTTTAATAACGCTCGGTACTTAACCTATAGAGTCTACTATATTCCTATAGTTCTAAAAGACGACCTCGGCAATAAGCGCCTATTAGATTTTACTGCCTATATAGTAGATATAGATAACCTTCTATCCGATATTGTTCTCGGAAACCCTATTCTTAAGCACTACGCCGTAGCTATAGATCTAGGCAGCTAATAGTAGCGATTTAGAATCGCTAGGAAGGAGGACATCGAATATATTAATACTAGCGAGTGCCCTAACGAAATTAGGGTCCTGTTTATTAGCAATCTAATACTAGCCTCTACCTTAGCTAACCTAATAGTCGACCTATTAGGGGATAACGACGAATCTCTGCCCCCTAATAGAATAGACCCTAATTAGCTTACTCGTATACTATAGCCTATTCGAGAGACCTATATTAATATATTTAAATACTACCTAGTATCGACATTGCCTATATTTAAAGAGACGGACTATAAGATCGATATTATATAGGGTAAGGAGGTTCCTTTTAGGCCCCTCTATAACCTTAGTAAACGAGAGCTTACTATATTACGTAAGTACCTAGATGAGAACCTAGCTACTAGTCGAATTTAGTATAGCAATAGCCCTACTAGTGCACCTATCCTATTCGTACTAAAGAAGGATAGTAGCCTACGCCTATATTTCGATTATCGTAGGCTTAATACTATTACTATTAAGGACCGCTATCTACTTCCGCTTGTTAGTAAGACCCTCGACCGCCTATCTAGCGCCTGTTTCTATACTATATTAGACATTAAGGATGCGTACTATCGTATCTGTATTCGTAAGGGCGATAAATAGAAAACAGCCTTCTATACTCGCTATAGCTATTTCGAGTACTTAGTTATACTATTTAGGCTAGCTAATGCCCCTACTATATTCTAGTCCTGTATTAATCGGGCCCTATTAGGCCTATTAGACTACCTCTATATAGTTTACCTAGACGATATCCTAGTCTATATACACTTACCTAATATTATAGAACATTAGGCCGCCGTACGTAAGGTACTCGACCGCCTATAGGCCTATAGCTTATATTATAAGCCTTCTAAATGCACCTTCGCTACTAAGGAGGTAGCCTTCCTCGGCTTTATCGTATTAACTAATAGTGTTAAGGCTAATCCTAATCGGATTAAAACTATTACTAAATAGCCTGTTCCTACGTTAATTAAGGAGCTATAGTCGTTCCTCGGCTTCGCTAATTTCTATCGCCGCTTTATTAAAGGCTATTCCCGGTATGTAATGCCCCTAACTAAGCTTACTAAAACTAAGGCTAATCTATCTAGGGAGTTCAAATAGACTAATAGAGTATAAGCCGCTTTTAACGGTCTAAAGCAACGCTTTACTAAAGTCCCCTTATTATACTATTTCGTACTAAGTAAGTAGATCCGAATTGAGACTAACGCTTTATAGTTCGCTATATTAGCTATTATATTACAATAGGCTAATAATACCTACTAGTACCTAA